TTATTATTATTATTATTATTATTAATAATAATAATAATAATAATAATAATAATAATAATAATAATAATAATAATAAAGTGTTTTCAGTAATAGAATCAAATTTGGAGACTGTATACAAAGACTCCAGTCATTTGTTTTTATTGTTGTGCTTTTTGTTAAGGACAATTAAAGACACTAAAATGTCATTTAGTGCTTTTATTATTATTTTATTATGATCATATTAGTTGACATTGTCCCAAAAATCAGCTAACATGAGAAAAGTATAACAACACATTGTTGACAAACATGACACTCAAAATTACATTTTTCATTAGCATTCGTGCGAGCCTTTTAGTGATATCAGCAGTGATGCTGGCACATTTGGGGAGAACTGTCTTTATCTGGATCTGGACACAGGGCACACAGCAGGGAAAAGCAGAGAGAGGGGGAGGGAGACCTCTGACCTTTTAACTTGTCAAATGTTTTAAATACTGAGCTTCAGCAAACATTGAATGTGAAATTATTTCATATCACTTTATGTCTTTTTATCTCAAAGGCAAATGTCTCTTACACTGTATATAATGATGCATTATCTATCAAATAGATAAATATTGTTTTTCTAAATATGGTCTGAAAATGAAAGCTTACTTATACGATATGGGTAAAAAGAAAATCCCAAGATGTAAAAAATGTAATAAAATAAGTAGAGTAATATATTAAATATTATTTTATTGGGGGAGAAAATCAGGCCTGTCAGTCATAACTGTCTTAATTCATATAGAATAGATATCAGAGCAAAAAACAGGCTGACGTTTGCTAAATGGGTCAAACTGGGCAGAAATGATACAAACACATAAAATCCTTATAAAATATGATGTAACACTTTAGACCAGGGGTGGGCAACTCCAGGCCTCGAGGGCCGGTTATAGACCCCTGCTATAGTCCAACTAACCTCAGAATATATAAATCATGATGCAACAAACACAGCAGTATTATTAATCCAAAATGATGGCATTTATTTTCAGGCGCATTCTGCTGCTGATACTTACATACTTTAAGTTTCTGAATATATAACTTTTTACTACCTTATATAGTTTTTACTTGAAGAACTTGAGTAGTTTCTCCCACACTGAAAACACTTTAATGATAACATTATTTTAACATTAGCTAAAAAGATTGATTCCTTTTCTTCACACACTGTCCTTCGTGCACTGATGGAGATGTTTACGAGGCTAAGGAGAAACCTGAACACTTTTCCCAGATGTTCAGGACATGAAGAAAGGGTGGCTGCTGCAAAGAACCAGGATCGGGCAATCCACGCTTGTTTTCTAAAGAGGATTTCTACCCAAGGTTGGACAGATTTTCTCAAAGAAAATGCTCCTGTGTCTCTACCAATGGATAAAAATGTTGTATTTTAAGTCTGTAAAATATTCTGTTTACTATTATAATGATGTGTATGCGTAGTCTTAAATCTTCTTTGATAATAGGCTTTTTAACAAAACTGGCTGATTTTAATGCTGTTAACTGTGCAGTTAAGTGATCATGCTCATTTAATCAAATTAAAACCTACTGATGTTCTGACCTTCATAGTCAATCTAGTATCTAGCTGTAGTAGTATGTTATAAGCAAAATGTTATTTCTGTAGAAATCTGTATTAAGACTTGTGTTTTACTGTATTTTAAATTAACCATAAAAAAAGGATTCTTTGTTTACCTCAAACATTCAGGCGATCATACTTTATGATCGCTGAGATTTTGATGAAGTGATAAATGGATAAAATTCTGATGTTCTGAACCGAGACCAACAAGGTCCAATCAATTATATGGTTCATGGACTTGAACATGCATAGCTATGCAAACCGCAGCTTATGATACAATTCAGGTGAGTTTATGTATGTAGTGTACTTTTATGGTAATGAAATGGGGGGGATGATAGGTGAACAGATTCCTTAATAACAAACTACAAAAGAGAAAAGACAGACGTTGGTGGGATGCTGTCATGCTTTATCAGAATAAGTCCATCTATTTTCCTCCAACTTTTTTAATTCAGGGTTGCAGCAGGGGTGGGGGTGTTGGAGCTATCCTACGTGTTACACAGTCCACCCTGGACTTTCACACCCACACTCAGATCACCTAACAAACATGTCTGGATTGTTTGGGTGGGGAAGCTGGAGAGAACCCATTCATACACAGGGAGTACATACAAGCTCCTCACAGAAAGACCTCAGCCAACCGGCAGGTTCAAGCTCAAGAACTTCTTCCTATGAAAAGATAAAAAAGATGCTAGCAATATCCCGTTAGCACTGCCTGAGTTTTTAATTCAACTAACCTCTGTACCACTGGGCTGACAATGGTGGTAGGTCCTAGATTTAAATCTCCGTGCTGGCTGGTGTCTTTCTAGAAACTTGTGTTCTCCATGTGCTTGTATGTACTTCAGCTTCTTCCCACAGTCCAAAGACATGCATAGGTTAGGTTAACTGGCAATTCTAATTCTAAATTGGCTGTACATGTGAATGGTTTTCTGTCTACAGACTGGTGATCTGTCCAGACTGTACCCTGCCACTGTCTGTATGACAGCTGGGATACAGTGTTTTCCTGTTTTGTTTTGTTTTTTGGCGGGGCCACTGTGTTATACTGAAGTCTTTAAAACATAATGAGACCTGATGTGAGTAGAGGCACATTCATTCACATCCTTTTATCCAAACTGAGCAACAAAGTCACCACAGTTAAAATGAGCCACACCAATAGTGACTCGTTTAAACTGACTTTAAGTAGAAATATGTTCTAATTAAAGACATCTGATGTCTTTAATTAGTGCCTATAATGTAACTGTGTCCAGGAATATCGGCATTAGCACACAAGTGTCCAGAGACAGAGGCAAAGTTGTAATTGTAAGTACTTATAAAGGCAGCAAACCTGGTTAAGAAAAAAGGAATAAAATAATGAATCAACAAACACATCCATAAAACATGGGGTTAGCTACAGTGGTAACCATTGCACAGCCCTACTGTAGCATTTTCTTAGGTGGAAATGAAAACAAAAAATGAAGTTTCTTTTTTCTCATTTCATTTCTCATTGTATTTGTTCAAAAGTAAATGTTAAGCTTTGTAAACCTTTGACGAGTTCACATGCTCCTGATCAAAGGCAAACCATCACAGCTCGTTGCCGTGTTCATCATCATCTTTGACCTCTTGCTTGAATGTCGCTCCCAAAAGAACAAATGTTTTCCTGACACGTATAAGACTGATAATTATACAAAATTGTCTTTCTAATGATCTTTGTGAAGTTATTGTCTGCTAGCGATAGCTTTGATAGTTTGTTTTTCCTATCTGAAGAACCTAATCTAAACTTTACAGGTGACTCAGGTAAAAAAAAACGTGCCAGTGCTGCTGATGTCAGCCTCCATCTTTCCATCTTTAGTATGTTGGCGCTGCACATATGGTCATGGCAGCTTATTGTGGCGAGCAGAGCCGAGGCTGATGGCTTTACAGAAGCTTTGCGCTCCCTGGCAGAAAATGACTCTCAGGCTTTTGAACATTAAGACTCGATTTGGAAGTCTGACACAGCAGCTGGTCGCTGTAACGAGCCATCTCACCCACGATCACTTCTCAGGGTTTCTGACTTAAAGGGATTTCTCCCCCAGATTCCCATTTGGAAGGCAGACAGCTGCATCGTGCTGCTGAATGCAGAATGAGACGACAGGAAACCTCAGAATGATGACAAGATCTTTTTTTCCCTTTCAAATGAGAAAAGATGCATTATAAAACTGCAAGAGAGGAACTAAAGGGCAGCCGTGGTGTGTTTGGGCCGCTTTTCTATTGAATTTGAGCATTCAAAGTCCTTTTTTACTGCTAGCCTCATTTACTCATACATGTACTTTTAACTACAAAATCTCAACAACACACCAAACAAACGGCACCAAAAACATTCTCCCAACT